GAGCCAACGCTTTAACCACTAGGCTACCCCACCGTCCTTGTTTCGAGACAGCGTACCTGTATGAAATAGCAAAATTACGCTGGGCTGAATTATATTTCAAGTGCGACGTTTTTCCTGTAACCTTTTCGCACCGTGACATGTATAGCCTACATAATAAGGCGGCATTACGGGCAGACCGCGTGAGTCAAGCTATTCATCATCTGTCCTTAATAACTCACTTACCAGACTAATGGGGATTCCCTCGGTAATGCGTGTAGAGTCCCGGGATGAGCATGTATTCGTACACGCTAAGACGACATTAACTCAATGGATTGGTAGCAAGACACCTTAGGTTCCAAGGGATGATGCCAAACAAGCGAACATCAGATTCAAGCGTTTATAGTTTCTTTGTGGAAACTGACCTCCTTTCAACTTCTGATATACAGGGGATACGGGTTTATTTACAAGGTCATAGTGTCACGTGTATCGACATTCCTCGACAAAACGTACCCTTCACCGTTTTGGTAAATATCAACACTAAACACAAGTTGATCAGCTAAGCGTGGGCATTACATGATATTGACACAGCACCCAGTGTGATATCGAACGCCAGGACTCTGGAAAAAATACTGTAGAGTCAAGAAGACAAAGAAATGAAATTACAGATGAAAGCACACACTAGTATCTAGTATCACTGGCACTACAGACATACACTGGCACTACAGACATACACTGGCACTACAGACATACACTGGCACTACAGACATACACTGGCACTACAGTCATACACTGGCACTACAGTCATACACTGGCACTACAGTCATACACTGGCACAACAGACATACACTGGCACTACAGACATACACTGGCACAACAGACATACACTGGCACTACAGACATACATACACTGGCACTACAGTCATACACTGGCACTACAGACATACACTGGCACTACAGACATACACTGGCACTACAGACATACACTGGCACTACAGACATACACTGGCACTACAGACATACACTGGCACTACATACATACACTGGCACTATACTACATACATAGCGACATAGACATACACTGGCACTACAGACATACACTGCACTACACTACAGACATACACTGGCACTACAGACATACACTGGCACTACAGACATACACTGGCACTACAGACATACACTGGCACTACAGACATACACTGGCACTACAGACATACACTGGCACTACATACATACACTGGCACACATACACTGGCACTACAGACATACACTGGCACTACAGACATACACTGGCACTACAGACATACACTGGCACTACAGACATACACTGGCACTACAGACATACACTGGCACTACAGACATACACTGACATACACACTACAGACATACACTGGCACTACAGACATACACTGGCACTACAAGCATACACTGGCACTAGCAGACATACACTGGCACTACAGACATACACTGGCACTACAGACATACACTGGCACTACAGACATACACTGGCACTAACAGACATACACTGGCACTACAGACATACACTGGCACTACAGACATACACTGGCACTACAGACATACACTGGCACTACATACATACACTGGCACTACAGACATACACTACTGGCACTACAGACATACACTGGCACTACAGACATACACTGGCACTACAGACATACACTGGCACTACAGACATACACTGGCACTACAGACATACACTGGCACTACAGACATACACTGGCACTACAAGCATACACTGGCACTACAGACATACACTGGCACTACAGACATACACTGGCACTACAGACATACACTGGCACTACAGACATACACTGGCACAACAGACATACACTGGCACTACAGACATACACTGGCACTACAGACATACACTGGCACTACAGACATACACTGGCACTACATACATACACTGGCACTACAGACATACACTGGCACTACAGACATACACTGGCACTACAGACATACACTGGCACTACAGACATACACTGGCACTACAGACATACACTGGCACAACAGACATACACTGGCACTACAGACATACACTGGCACTACAGACATACACTGGCACAACAGACATACACTGGCACTACAGACATACACTGGCACTACAGACATACACTGGCACTATAGACATACACTGGCACTACAGACATACACTGGCACTACAGACATACACTGGCACTACAGACATACACTGGCACTACAGACATACACTGGCACTACAGACATACACTGGCACTACAGACATACACTGGCACTACAGACATACACTGGCACTACAGATATACACTGGCACTACAGACATACACTGGCACTACAGACATACACTGGCACTACAGACATACACTGGCACTACAGACATACACTGGCACTACACAGACATACACTGGCACTACAGACATACACTGGCACACTACAGACATACACTGGCACTACAGACATACACTGGCACTACAGACATACACTGGCACTACAGACATACACTGGCACTACACAGACATACACTGGCACTACAGACATACACATACACTACTGACATACACTGGCACTACAGACATACACTGGCACTACAGACATACACTGGCACTACAGACATACACTGGCACTACAGACATACACTGGCACAGACATACAGACATACACTGGCACTACAGACATACACTGGCATACACTGGCACTACAGACATACACTGGCACTACAGACATACACTGACACTACAGACATACACTGGCATACACAGACATACACTGGCACTACAGACATACACTGGCACTACAAGACATACACTGGCACTACAGACATACACTGTGCACTACAGACATACACTGGCACTACAGACATACATACACTTGCACACACAGACATACACTGGCACTACAGACATACACTGGCACTACAGACATACACTGGCACTACAGACATACACTGGCACTACAGACATACACTGGCACTACAGACATACACTGGCACTACAGACATACACTGGCACTACAGACATACACTGGCACTACAGACATACACTGGCACTACGTACATACACTGGCACTAGAGTCATACACTGGCACTACAGACATATACTGGCACTACAGACATACACTGGTTGAGAGTCGTTGCTTCACTGATGCTGAACTCGCATGCCTCTTCTTCCCTGTAATAGCATTACCCGAAGTCTGTGTTTACATCCCCCTGAAGCCTGACTTACGGCATTATACCTGATATAACGTTATATTTAGCCTCCAAGCGACAAGACTGGTTCCATCACGCCACCTCCACGGACATCCCGGCGACACGTAGATGTAGCTGAACCCTCGCCAGACAACACCGACTTACAGCTTTAACCATGTCTCAATACAGCGTTAAATATAATATATTCACTTTATCCCGATATATATATTCATTACTGGAATATGTTTATGCAATGAACAAGTAGGTCTTCTGGTAGTATTAATGATTAATAGCAACGTCTAAAAAATCGAAACATGTTTATTTATCGAAACAAGTATATCTCTCTTCGTTCCACTCACTGGTTCGTACATGATATTTCCCAGTTGTTCATAGCTTCTTTTCGTTTTTCAGTTATTACTGTTTTTATGAAAAAAGTATATCTTATGCAACAAATGTTATATTTCGGGTCAGTTTCTCAGTACAGTGCAGATTCTAGAATTATTTAGACTGAGTTACATCCGAATCCACAATCTCAGAGACGTGACATAATCACCAGCACTCAAATTCAACGATCGAACCCACACAGCCACCTCGTCTTCCGCAAATCGGTGGCTAGAAATGCTCTGTGTGTGCCAACGCTGGGCATCCACTGAAAAGGTGCTTGAATGTCTCAGAATATTCGTTTCGTAATCTGCATCTCATACTTACATTTTGATGCAAAATCGCACATTGACCCTATCGAGTTGGAGGTGAGAGGCCCTGAGCAGCAATCAGAAAGCCTTCTGCTCCACTGTTCAGTCCAGGGACCGTCATCCATGCTGAGGACTCTACGGTGCTGGTGTTCCTGTCAACACACTACACTTACAGCGGTCGTTCAGAGATCCTTCGTTTGAAAAAGGGACAACGGCCATGCTAGCATCGGTTTCAGTGTGAGATTTCTTTTCAATTAGGAGATAAACACACTGTGTTGAAAAATCAGAGGTATATAACGAAATTATAATAACTCTGAATGACCTTGATTAACCAATCACAATCCAGTAATTTGAGGTCATAGAAGAATACATTTTATTTCTTGCCTTAAGCATTTGTGGTTTTTAAACTAAATTGATTTGAAACCATGGTAAAATTTCTTTTGGTTGTCATTTTGTTGTTTTCTCACATCTTCAATATGCTTTTCAGAAAGGGATCAACACGTAACATGTGTTATATGTTGGATTACAGGTACTGAGAAAAGTACATATTCTAGTACTTCATGGTTGTCTCCCATCTGGGATTCGAACACTCTCTCACAGTGTGGGGCACCTAATTGGTAGCACACAAAGTCAACTACAGTCCAAACTACTCTGCCACCAGCGAGTTTGAGTTTGGGTTCGAATAGAATCCGGATGGGATGTTATGTTCTCACATGTTCTCACAGTTATTATCCGTACTGCTACTAGTTGAAATAGTTCTCAATTGAACGTTGTTGTCGCCTGCTTCACACAAGCTACCAGGAACAGGTTGTTTTCTCGTAAGTACTGAAATGTCAACAATGCCAGTTTAGACCACTATTAACAACTATTCTCTTTAATGTTAGTTTATATATATATATATATAATGTCCATTTATATGGCGCCAAACTCCACTGGGGCGTGCTCATAGTACAAGAGTCAAGGAAAAGAAGTAAAACTAGTAGCAGTACAAGGTCACTTTAAAAGTACAAATGGAACAGATGAGTCTTTAGGAGACACTTAAATTGTTCCAACGACTGGGCGTCTTTGAGAAAATCTGGCAGTGAGTTCCATTTAGTGGCAGCTGCAACACTAAAGGACTTGTAACCAAAGGACATTTTCTTCCATGATGGCAACTATGAGTCTCTGTTGATTCTCAGACCTGAGGGAACGTGGTGGAATGTACATACATACAATGTCACACAGGTATGATGGGGCTAGATTGTGAACGCAGATATGCCAGGATGATGATTTTAAAGTCCACTCTCGCCGCTACTGGGAGCCAATGTAACGCCTTAAGCACTGGTGTTATGTGCATTCTTGAGGGAGATCTGGTGACTATCCTCGCCGCTTGATTTTGCACTTTTTGAAGTTTACTTAGGAGTGTTGCTGGTATGTTTGCAAGCAGACTGTTGCAGTAGTCTATGCGTGTCAGAATCAGGCAACGAGCGAGCTTTGCAGCTGAATCCTCAGTTATGAGATGACGGATTTTCCCAAGTTTCTCAGTTGAAAGTAACAACTTTACATATGTTGTTCACTTGCTGTTCCATCGATAATCCAGCATCAATTAGGACGCCTAGATTCTTCACAACAGGGGACATATCGATGCTTGTCTAGTTTACACGTTTGTAATTATTTAGCATGTGTAAAAAACGAAACACCACACTCTTTCCTATTCGATACAATTTCTAAACACTCTGATCTCCCCCGTTTAATAAAATATTTCCAAACGATAATGAATGTATAGTTTTCGTATTTCTGCCATGTTGCCCCTTTATCTGCGTGAGTGAGTGAGTGAGTGAGTTTAGTTACACGCCGCAGTCAGCAATATTCCAGCTATATGGCGGCGGTCTGTAAATAATCGGATCTGTACCAGACAACCCAGTGATCAACAACATGAGCATCGATCTACGCAACTGGGATACGATGAGATGTGTCAACCCAGTCAGCGAGCCTAACCACCCGATCCAGTTAGTCGGCTCTTACGACAAGCACGGGTTACTGGCGATCTCCTGACCAACTCTATATTGTCAAATTGCCAATACCTGTTATATTGCCGCATATATACCATATATATACTAAACATGTCACATTGCCTAGTCGTCTATCACATTGACCCTGTATCTGTCATAATGTCCTTATTTCTGTCATATCTGCCATATTGGTCCTATAACTGTCACACTGCCCCTTTATATGTCATATTCCTATAACTGTCATACTGACCCTCTACATGTCATTTTGGTCCTATAACTGCCATACTGCCCCTCTATATGTCATATTGGTCCTATAACTGTCATACTGACCCTCTATATGTCATATTGGTCCTATAACTGCCATACTGCCCCTCTATATGTCATATTGGCCCTATAACTGTCATACTGACCCTCTATATGTCATATTGGTCCTATAACTGCCATACTGCCCCTCTATATGTCATATTGGTCCTATAACTGTCATACTGACCCTCTATATGTCATATTGGTCCTATAACTGTCATACTGCCCCTCTATATGTCATATTGGTCCTATAACTGTCATACTGACCCTCTATATGTCATATTGGTCCTATAACTGCCATACTGACCCTCTATATGTCATATTGGTCCTATAACTGTCATACTGACCCTCTATATGTCATATTGGTCCTATAACTGTCATACTGACCCTCTATATGTCATATTGGTCCTATAACTGCCATACTGCCCCTCTATATGTCATATTGGTCCTATAACTGTCATACTGACCCTCTATATGTCATATTGGTCCTATAACTGTCATACTGCCCCTCTATATGTCATATTGGTCCTATAACTGCCATACTGACCCTCTATATGTCATATTGGTCCTATAACTGTCATACTGACCCTCTATATGTCATATTGGTCCTATAACTGCCATACTGACCCTCTATATGTCATATTGGTCCTATAACTGTCATACTGACCCTCTATATGTCATATTGGTCCCTGTAACTGACCTCATCATATTGTCCCTCTATATGTCATATTGGTCCTATAACTGCCATACTGACCCTCTATATGTCATATTGGTCCTATAACTGTCATACTGACCCTCTATATGTCATATTGGTCCTATAACTGTCATACTGACCCTCTATATGTCATATTGGTCCTATAACTGTCATACTGACCGTCTATATGTCATATTGGTCCTATAACTGTCATACTGACCCTCTATATGTCATACTGGCCCTATAACTGCCATACTGACCCTCTATATGTCATATTGGTCCTATAACTGTCAGATTGCTCTTACTGGTTTCGAACTGTGCCTGTGTCCGTCATACTGTCCCTATATCTGTGAATGTTGTCCCGATATCTGTCATGTTATCCTTCTACATGTTGTATAAGATTCATCCGAAAGGACGATCCTGGTAAAAGGCCGAAAATGTTAACGATATTCAATAAGTTCATGGAAAATGCATAGCGATGATTTTGTGAGAAAGGTTGGTTCCATGATCAGCTGTTGAAGGAGTATCTATTATCTCGACCTAATGTATCAGTGTTTCATACTTCAGGCCTTATTGCTGCTGCCGATTGTTTGTCTCAGACTGTTATTAGAAGACCTACATTTGGACTCATAAATATCTACTGATCACTGGGCTCGCTGCACCAGTCAAATATCAAAAAGCAAGACGATACAGTTCCAGATTGGAGACCTTAAAAATGAACCCTGATGTTGCACCTGAAGATCAAAGTGTACCTATTACGGATGTGCACCTGAAGATCAAAGTGTACCTATTACGGATGTTGCACCTGAAGATCAAAGTGTACCTATTACGGATGTTGCACCTGAAGATCAAAGTGTACCTATTACGGATGTTGCACCTGAAGATCAAAGTGTACCTATTACGGATGTTGCACATGAAGATCAAAGTGTACCTATTACGGATGTTGCACATGAAGATCAAAGTGTACCTATTACGGATATTGCACATGAAGATCAAAGTGTACCATCAAAGTGTACCTATTACGGATGTTGCACATGAAGATCAAAGTGTACCTATTACGGATGTTGCACATGAAGATCAAAGTGTACCTATTACGGATGTTGCACATGAAGATCAAAGTGTACCTATTACGGATGTTGCACATGAAGATCAAAGTGTACCTATTACGGATATTGCACCTGAAGATCAAAGTGTACCTATTACGGATGTTGCACCTGAAGATCAAAGTGTACCTATTACGGATGTTGCACCTGAAGATCAAAGTGTACCTATTACGGATGTTGCACCTGAAGATCAAAGTGTACCTATTACGGATGTTCCACTTGAAGATCAAAGTGTACCTATTATGGATGTTGCACCTGAAGATCAAAAAGTGTACCTATTACGGATGTTGCACCTGAAGATCAAAGTGTACCTATTACGGATGTTGCACCTGAAGATCAAAGTGTACCTATTACGGATGTTGCACATGAAGATCAAAGTGTACCTATTACGGATATTGCACATGAAGATCAAAGTGTACCTATTACGGATGTTGCACCTGAAGATCAAAGTGTACCTATTACGGATGTTGCACATGAAGATCAAAGTGTACCTATTACGGATATTCCCACTTGAAGATCAAAGTGTACCTATTACGGATGTTCCACTTGAAGATCAAAGTGTACCTATTATGGATGTTGCACATGAAGAAAGTGTACCTATTACGGATGTTGCACCTGAAGATCAAAGTGTACCTATTACGGATATTCCACTTGAAGATCAAAGTGTACCTATTACGGATGTTGCACATGAAGATCAAAGTGTACCTATTCCGGATATTGCACCTGAAGATCAAAGTGTACCTATTACGGATGTTGCACCTGAAGATCAAAGTGTACCTATTACGGATGTTGCACATGAAGATCAAAGTGTACCTATTACGGATATTGCACATGAAGATCAAAGTGTACCTATTACGGATATTGCACATGAAGATCAAAGTGTACCTATTACGGATATTGCACCTGAAGATCAAAGTGTACCTATTACGGATATTGCACATGAAGATCAAAGTGTACCTATTACGGATGTTGCACCTGAAGATCAAAGTGTACCTATTACGGATGTTGCACATGAAGATCAAAGTGTACCTATTCCGGATATTGCACATGAAGATCAAAGTATACCTATTACGGATGCTGCACCTGAGGATCAAAGTGTACCTATTCCTGCTCAAGTCCCAAATTATAACATTCATAACCTGGATAAGATTTTCGAACAATGAACTGAGGGACCTAACCGTATGCACGTTCATTCCTTTCTGGTACATGAACCACAGAACGCCCTCCCCGATAACCTCACGAACGCTTGCTCATGTAGAGAATCTAACAATTAGACGCCCTTACATTACAAATAACTATTTACTTTATCTTCGGTGCTCGATTCTGACAAATTATGAAATTTCGCCTCCGGCTCGGTTATATCGAATTAAATGTTCATTGATCTAAACGTAATCAGCTCAGACTGCTAACGTGGAGATAATATCTAACTGCATGGCGACACTACCCAAATACCCGAAACAATATGTATTTGTGCATCAGCGGCGACAACCTGAACGTGTATATACACCAACTCACCGCTCACTGATACAATCAGAATGGAAGTTCTTAGATCAGTGTAGCATCGTTTTGCCAAAGGTAAAATAGTCGAATAGTGGTTATATGAACGAATAACTAGTTATGTGTATGAATATTCAACTTGAACATGTTTACATACAATTACACGGTTTTTTTCCTGGAGCGATGTGACAGACAGACAGACAGACAGACAGACAGAAGTACCAACCCAGATTTAGTTTTATAAAATAAAAATAATATTATGTTTAAAATATGTGTATACACGGTGTATATTCATAAAACTTTCTGCAATGAGGTCTGTCTTTATTTAAACTGTTTTAAAAGCTCGACAGGGAAACTGTATATTGTCGTATGACAGGAAGCAGCAGAGTGAATTGAAACCACTGCTGACTTGTTATCCCGACCCAGTGACAGAGAGTGTTTGCGCCCTGTCTGCTTGAGGGAGCTTGACCAGACAGCAAGTACACTCGACACACTTAATCTTGGCTGACAGTACTATATATACAATATATATAATATGTAGAACTGTCAGCTAAGATTAAGTGTCAATCACACTTCGCCTTTCCGCACCCGGACGCTTCTCGATTGGTGGGTTATACATTATGACATTGTTGTCAGTTCTTGACGGTCTCTGCCAGCACTGGTTGGTGGGTCATACATTAAGATATTGTTACTGATACAAAGTGGCATACAGTTACTGTCAAGCGTCCCTCCTCTTGCTGTGGTTAATGTTTTATTGATACAAAGTGGCATACAGTTACTGTCAAGCGTCCCTCCTCTTGCTGTGGTTAATGTTGGAGAAATGTAGAGGTAACAAAATAAGTTTACTAAAATGGAATAAAATATATTTAACTATGACTTACAACAATATCAATACACGCTTCCTCTCTCTACATTATACACGCTTCCTCTCTCTACATTATACACGCTTCCTCTCTATACATTATACACGCTTCCTCTCTATACATTATACACGCTTCCTCTCTATACATTATACACGCTTCCTCTCTATACATTATACACGCTTCCTCTCTATACATTATACACGCTTCCTCTCTCTACATTATACACGCTTCCTCTCTCTACATTATACACGCTTCCTCTCTATACATTATACACGCTTCCTCTCTATACATTATACACGCTTCCTCTATACATTATACACGCTTCCTCTCTATACATCATACGCTTCCTCTCATACATTATACTTCCTCTCTCTACATTATACACGCTTCCTCTCTATACATTATACACGCTTCCTCTCTATACATTATACACGCTTCCTCTCTATACATTATACACGCTTCCTCTCTACATTATACACGCTTCCTCTCTATACATTATACACGCTTCCTCTCTACATTATACACGCTTCCTCTCTATACATTATACACGCTTCCTCTCTATACATTATACACGCTTCCTCTCTATACATCATACACGCTTCCTCTCTATACATTATACACGCTTCCTCTCTATACATTATACACGCTTCCTCTCTATACATTATACACGCTTCCTCTCTATACATTATACACGCTTCCTCTCTATACATTATACACGCTTCCTCTCTATACATTATACACGCTTCCTCTCTCTGTACATTATACACGCTTCCTCTCTCTACATTATACACGCTTCCTCTCTCTACATTATACGCTTCCTCTCTATACATTATACACGCCTTCCTCTCTATACATTATACACGCTTCCTCTATACATTATACACGCTTCCTCTCTATACATTATACACGCTTCCTCTCTATACATTATACACGCTTCCTCTCTCTACATTTTACACGCTTCCTCTCTATACATTATACACGCTTCCTCTCTATACATTATACACGCTTCCTCTCTATACATTATACACGCTTCCTCTCTATACATTATACACGCTTCCTCTCTATACATTATACACGCTTCCTCTCTATACATTACAACCATTGTTAAATATGAATGATTGAGGTCACCTTCAATACTTTTAACATAATCGTCATCATGCAGCCTTCACCTGGTGTTAGATCGTCAGACTTTGTTGAGTAATGAAAGTATATTATGTCACTTCACAAATTCAGCAAATGAACACTTTCTGGAAATGACGAACATGGCCTTTTCACAGGGAAACCGTGACATGTGACTTAAAATATGTGACTCACTTTAAAGACATCGATCTATGCAATTGGGAGGCGAACAGGAAATAGAGGTGGGATCCAGTCCAAAGAATGGATTGTGGGATGCAGTGGAAGTGGTTACTGACTTGATTTTGATATAGTTACATGAGGGACTAATCCCTGTAATAGTTAAAAACTCCTTTTCTTTGACATTTATAAATACAATCTTCAAAACAAGTCCAAGATATAATCTGTGATTACTCATAAATATATGTTGTAATTAATCCCTAAAATGAATTCCTTTTCAATATATTCAGAAATTGGTTGTTTAACTCGAAATACGGAATGTGTCGTTTTCTCATTCCTACACGTGTTGTGTTTTACATGTCCAAACGTCAACAAAACTGTACATATTTGCCTATTGCAGCGTTGTAAACGAACGTTATATAATATTACCTAACCTCTTTTTAATGGTAGTAATAATTCTGTCACAGATGGCAGGAGAACAGGAATTCCGACATTTTCTCAGATATTTACATAGATTGTTATAACCCCGATCTATGCACATTTATATCCACCTGTTACATGATGTTATACAACACGGCGTTACGTGTATGTCGAGTTGTTTTATAAGAGTTATATCTATGACATATTTAGAAATATGCCCGGGTGTCATATAGATATCGTCTATATACAGTGTCGAAGTTCAACAGTGTACAGTGGCATATAAAAATTATATATAAGGAAATACTCACAATAATGACACGACAGGAATGTTCCGCCTATACCCTTATCTTCAGAGAGAGAAGATAATGTTATATAATGCACGTTGAGAATGTTATATTGTTACGTGATCAATCCTAAATCCCCCAAATTAAGCGGGTGTCAGTCCGTTAAAGAACACGGTGTGGAACCATCAAACATCAAACATATGTGATTAACAACTCTGTTCTAAATTATTGAATACAACTTGGTACAAATGTGTCACTATGACAATACATACCCGTGAAGATCCGGGGTAGAATGGGTCTTCAATAACCTATGCTTGTCTGACGGGATAGGGTGTCATGCTCGCTGACTTGGTTGACACATGTCATTGTATCCAAATTGCGTAGATCGAAGCTCATGCTGTTGATCACTGGATTGTCTGGTCCATTGTCTGGTATTACAATTTTAGAGGCAGTATAATACAAGAGCCGTGATTATAGCAATACAGACAATGGTGAGTAATATTGTCGGTAACAGAACTATAGGCCTGGCAGAGTATACTGATCTTCACAAACAATGCTGGTGTACTTGGGACATAATGTGAGATGACAGGCAATAGCTAGCTTCCCTCATATACACAAAAACTCTAGAACAATCTAAAATATTCTGTGCATCAGAATGGATTCTAGTAAATTCCAGCACACTCAGTAGTATACACAATGGTGGAACTGCATCAGGTCCTCCCCAAGGCCTTAATTTTTCAATTTTTTTCAAATTAAGGCCTTGGGAAGTTCCCGATGCAGTTCAACCCATTGTGTAAACTACTACTTATAAGAATCTCATTTTCGCTAACGCTACCCATTTTTTCAGCAACCACCAACCCCAAGACAGGTATGCAACAAAACTGGCACCACGTTTGCTCGAACTTCCAATTAGACATATGGAGTTGCTACAGTATACAGTATACACTCAAACAACAACAACTATGGCAAAACAAATTGCAGCAACTTTCCAAGAAATGGACATTCGATGCAGCAAATCGATCGCACACCACCTCCTACTGGAAAACACGCACGACAACAACCTCATGTCCGATATCTCGACGGTAGATTATCTCGCCAGAAATCTTGGGGAAACCCACCTGCAACTAATCTCCAGTCTTCCAGCCTTTGTCGACGACCTCTACGTGTTTGGCTATCGATCTCGCAAAGACATCGTGCAGCACAAGGGAAGCGTCCAGTGTAAAATCGCGAAAAAAAACGTCGGACTACTCTACTGGATACTACCACCAACAAAGAGCATACCGAAGCCACTAAAATGTATGCGACACTTCTCCACACGGTTCAAAAGGCGAGTGCAGGAGCTATTGCCAGCACGATCCAAAAGATCGAAAGCGAAACCCGGCAGAAATCGCTACGAGCATGGAAAGCCCAAAATGATGACGAAACCCCTTTTGCAGTCTTCGTGGCCAAAGTGGACGTCTCGAAATCGCGATCAACCGACTACAAGAGTAATTGTCCAATCTAGAAACAAAACTACAAGGCAATGGGCTAGGAATCTACAGCATCAACTACACCTGAGACTATTCCGTCGTCCTTGACTGCAAACAGCTCGTGCAATTCCTCTGTAGCCAACATGGATTTGGCGAACAAGGCGAACTTGTGGAAGCCATCGAAACTGGAAAACCCACCATCCTGGACAACACACACTCGGTCGGCAACCATGTTTGCACTTGGGAAGAGACAACAAAGTCCGGCAAAACGATGTGCACCAAGCTCTGCAACAAAGTCGTTTGCAACTTCGAAGCCGGAGGAATCCGAGAACCGATTGGCGGACATCTTGCGGACTATGTGGATTGTCCAAATGAGCATCTCTGGAAAACATTTTACCACCCAGACGTACAACAACGAGGTTGCACTCACATATAAGTGTCCCTGTACGCCTGCCAAGACACTGACATGTCCACCAACTGAGCAGAAAACGATTTGCAAGATGTGTTAGAGTGGGTTTCAGCAGCAGGCGATGGTCTATTCATAGTAGAACCACCAGCAACGCAGTGGCTTCGTCTCGCAGAAAAGATAGACCGCTGTTTGGTCCTAGCCGGCCGTCCACAGCAAACGATCTTCGTCGCGTGATACGCACACTCGAAAACGGGTCGTGTGTCCGGAGTACACATTCATCCAACCAACACAGAATCCTGGGCAAAAAACATCGACTGGGCCATAGGAGACTTCGGTTTTCGAAGGGTTCCAATATTCCGTGTGGACATCCTATCGGTAGAAGGAGATACAATGGAACTAGGCCCACTCTGATGCTGTGCAAAAGGCGAGGACACCAAGACGGTGCTAGCTGCCAGCAAGAAGCCAACAGCTCTACATCCATCCGGCATGAATACAGACATATTTCTCCCGACAACTCCACACATCGAATGGCAATGGAGGCAGAAAAAATGTCAAAAGCTTGGCAGAGAAGGATCCGATCAACCTTTCCAAGAAATGCTGAACAAAGCGGCCAATTGCAAAATTGTTACTCTGTCTACACAGACACGAGGAAGGAAATTGATGGAGCTACTGGAGTCCGAGAAGGCAGAAAATTGGAAAAAAGAAGCGGGAAAGGTGCTACTAAAGGAAATACAAATACGGGAAGAACGAGCAGAACTACGCAAAAAGGAGATCGAAGCTCTGCAAGACAGTTTCGCAGAAGCCACAACATACATCTAAAAACGAAGACAATCCCAACTGCTTGTGGAAAATGCTCTCCGCAATACGGATACAAACAAAGTAGGGGTAATAGCCGGTTGATACGGTAAGGTCAGCTTCCGAAACCACCAACCGTTTCACACGCATCGTCGTCCAATGGCCAACAGGCCAAACGAGCACTGTTTGGACTACAGCGGGGCTAGAAAGAGTACTGCGACAACAGGACTCCTACTTCGAGAGAACGAAGACAGACTGTTTTGAGCGACAACGTATTGGTTGGTAGAAAAGGATTTCTCTCAAGATGAAGTGTACGAACACACCCTGCAAATCGAGATCGAATCCTCCGTAAGATCGCTCTTCGACAAAATCGGCAAAGAGATTCTTTGGAAGAAAATACAGGTAGTGGCATCTCCTTTGGGAAAGGAGTATCTGGACGAGCGCAGGAAGATAGAGGAAATAGAGAACATGTCGGAATACGAAGAATATTTAGAACTACAAAGGGGTATGAAATCCATCTCCCAGGTATCGCCGCCAAAAACGCCCGCCATCCAGAAATGTGTAGACTTTCCAGAAGGGATCTATGCCATCCACAGGTTTGCAAAACATATGTATCGTGGGACCAAGCGAACTATCCTGTATCTACAAGCGCTGGACGAAAATGGAGCACCAAAAGACGATGTAGACATACCTGTACATGGACATTGGATGGACAGTGCTGCAGCGGATATAGATCTGTCGACAAAGCAAAGCCCAGCTCTGTGTAGTCTAGGGCCCATTCGCACAACCCCAAACAAAAATAAAGCTAGAATCATACAAATAGAAACTACAACACAACGCCACCTCTAGAAGTACAAGTCCACAGACTGTTTCCATAGCCGACAGCACATAGTCTAGTCTTGCCCCAATTGCATAGTTTTCTACACAGACCCTCCGACAGCTCGCCTAGTATTTTTGCAGATGCACAGTCACGGGCTTGGGGTTGCAAAGGACGAGTCATAGACTTGTCTAGGCCTGTTTTCGTAGGGCGCACGCCCGGACGAAAAAGACAAAAGTACAGTTCGTATACCCTACTACAATACTTTTTTCCAAATAGGCTCCATTCCACACATCGACTTCTCTACTCCATATAGTGGGGATCCTTGGGTGTGGCCGTGGAAACTGGTTTGGGCGTTTCTGTCTTCTCGTCGACCGGTATGTGTGCCGGCGTGCTAGCCGGTGTGCTGTGCTTCAAGGCCTTGTGGACGACCTTCCAGAGAAACACAATGGCTAGCGAAAGGGTGGTCCACCTTTGGGCCGATTCTACCATCTGCCGCACCTTCTCAATATCCAGACGGGTCTCTTCTTGTTCCTCCTCGACGCTTTCTATTTCCTCCCGGAGTTCTTCTTCGTTGTCGTCCTTGTCCAGCCTCAACAATATGTTGACCAACAAATTCGTGGTTTGCTCCGCACGGGCTGACAACATCGTCGCGGTTTGCTCCACACAAGCCGACAACATTGTCGCGTTTGGTTCCACACGGGCCTCGGGCCTCCCAAATTGGTCGTAGAAGTCCTGGACGGTTGGTGCAGTCGACGGATCTGCAGCAGGCAATACGATTGTGCTGGACGTAGACGTCGGATTTGGAGCTATCTCGCCAGCAGGCAAGAGCGTGTTGGTAGACGGTTCTGCGGTTGTCAATACGGATGTGCTGGAGTTCGGATTTGTAGCCGGGGAAGAAGAAATGGGCTTTGTAGCTATTTGCATATCTTCTTCTGTATTCCATATTTTGCGTAGTCGATTGGAACCGATTCCAAATCGTTGTATGGTTTCTTGTGCAGAGATTTTCCACGCATCTTGCAATAGTTGTCTTTTCGGAGGCATTGTGTTGGTACTATATATCTACACCATTTTCTATATAGAAAACTAGGCAGAACCTAGGCGAACTAGCCAAACTAGACGCAAACTAGGTAGGAACTATGTGCGAACTAGGCAGGACCTAGTTTGCCTAGGTATTGTAGTAGGGTATACGAACCATGCGTTTGCTTTTTTCGTCCAGGCCTAATTTCCGTACCGTTCCGAGTTCAACGAAAAGCAGTTGGAATACAGGGACACTTCTATGCGAGTGCAACCTCGTTGTTGTACGTCTGGGTGGTAAAATGTTTTCCAGAGATGCTCATCTGGACAATCCACATAGTCGTAAGATGTCCGCCAATCGGTTCTCGGATTCCTCCAGCTTCGAAGTTGCAAACGACTTTGTTGTACAGCTTGGTGCGCATCATTTGCCGGACTTTGTTGTCTCTTCAATGGTTGCCGACCGAGTGTGTGTTGTCCAGGATGGTGGGTTTTCCAGTTTCGATGGCTTCCACAAGATCGCCTTGTTCGACAAATCCATGTTGGCTACAGAGGAATTGCACGAGCTGTTTGCAGTCAAGGACGACGGAATAGTCTCAGGTGTAGTTGATGCTGTAGATTCCTAGCCCATTGCCTTGTAGTTTTGTTTCTAGATTGGACAATTACTCTTGGAGTCGGTCGATCGCTATTTGGCCACAAAGACTGCAAAAGGGGTTCGTCGTCGTTTTGGGCTTTCCATGCTCGTAGCGATTTCTGCCGGGTTTCGCTTTCAATCTTTTGGATCGTGCTGGCAATAGCTCCTGCACTCGTCTTTAGCACCGTGTGGAGAAGTGTCGCATACATTTTAGTGGCTTCGGTATGCTCTTTGTAGGTGGTGCGTAGTATCCAGTAGAGTAGTCTGACGATATTTTTCGCGTGGCTGTGCTCTGCCGTCGTACACTGGACGCTTCCCTTTTGCTGCACGATGTCTTTGCGAGATAGATAGTTTACCCTCGAGATATCGGACACAAGATTGTTGTCGTGCGTGTTTTCCAGTAGGAGGTGGTGTGCGATCGATTTGCTGCATCGAATGTCCATTTCTTGGAAAGTTGCTGCAATTTGTTTTGCCATAGTTGTTGTTGTTTGAGTGTATACTGTATACTGTAGCAACTCCATATGTCTAATTGGAAGTTCGAGCAACCTTGGTGCCAGTATTTTTGCTTACCTGTCTTGGTATCGGGTCGAAAATGGGGTAGGTGGTTGCTGAAAAAATGGGTAGCCTTAGCCTAAGTGAGATTCTTATAACAGTCGTTGACGTCGCCAGTCGCTACAAGGAAGCCAAACCGTTGATGACCAAAGATTCGAACGAAGTCGCCAAAGTCTTAGAACGCATATACAAACGCAGTCACTTGACCTGGCCTGCCGTATTGCAAATCGATCCCGGACGCGAGTTCATGGGAGCCGTGTCACAACTGCTGGCCAAGCACAAAGTCCAAGTGAGGTGAGGTGTGGTGGGAGGTCACCGAAGCCAAGCCATAGTCGAGAGATTCAATCGCACCTTAGCCGAATACCTGTTCTCACATCAGTACTTGCAGGATTTAATGGATCCCAAAAACAGAAACACGGAATGGGTCGTACGCTCGCCGCGAGTGGTGGATGCCATCAACAACGAAAACACCAGTCTCGTGGGAAGAGACCCGTCGAAGCCATCAAAATGAAATCTGTCGAATCGTCGTCGGCAGCGGCACGTCGCGATAATACATTACCATGTCAGTGTTAGGTACTTGTACCAGCCGGGAGAATACGAGGGAGACAGCAGAAAATGCGCCACCGATCCGATATGGTCCATGAAAACGTACAACTTAGACCTTGTCGACATCAAAGACAGCGAGAGCATTCGCCAAAGAGCAGTTGATGATCGTACCTCACGACACAGTCCCTTTTAGATCGCCCACTGTATGATATTTTTCTCATGATTTATCAGTGTGTGTGTGTGTGTTGTGTGTGTGTGTTTGTGTTGTTTTTCTGTTGTTTTTGTGTTGTGTGTGTGTGTGTGTGTGTGCGCGCGCGCGCGTGTGTGTGTGTGTGTGTGTGTTGGGTATTAGTTGTAGTATGATATATTTCTGTCACTGTAACTAAACTATTCCACCGAATTTCGTGAAACTTTGCATGCACCGCAGTAGTAGTATACACAATGGGTGGAACTGCATCGGGGACTTCCCAAGGCCTTAATTTGGAAAATATAGTAAAGCCTAGATATAGTACACCTCTTCCCCTCACTGACTCTACAGGTACAATGTACAAAAGGGGAAAGATTGGTGCACAACGTATAACACTGTTTCATGACCACTGGCCGTCACTGACTCTACGGGTACAATGTACAACAGGTGAAACATGGTGCACAACGTATAACACTGCCTCATAACCACTCGGAGGCGGTGGGGTAGCCTAATGGTTAAAGCGTTGGTTCGTCACGCCGAAGACCCGGGTTCGAATCCCCACATGGGCACAATGTGTGAAGCCCATTTCTGGTGTCCCCTGCTATGATGTTGCTAGAATATTGCTAAAAGCGGCGTAAAACCAAACTCAGTCAGTCAGTCAGTCAGTCATAACCACTGGCCGTCACTGACTCTACAGGTACAATGTACAACAAGTATTTCAGCCATATAGTGACGAGAACAAGTCTGCATTTAATAAATATTGTAAGTACAGAGTCAAAATGAGTTTTATTTAAAAAACATATATTCATTACATTGTCATTTAAAGACAGAAAAAGGCATAGCACTAAAATTAAAGGCGGGCAATTTGTTAGTCACATTACACAGTTACAATTTATGATACAGATCAACTTCCGTCAGGTAGTTCACTATCAGATGAGCGCTCACGCGGGAGAACAGATCTTTCAGATTTGTTGCATCATAGTGTGAGTCCCTTTCAGACGATAAGTCCACGCAGTCAAGCTGAATATGCTTGATGGTGAAAACCTCATCGCAAGAGACACACATGGGGGGTCCATCCCCATCCGTTTTCAGCAGATATTCATGTGTAAACCGACTGTGGCCAATACGACATCGTCGTAAAATTACCTCATCACGTCTTGACTGACAACCCAAGTAGGTATAACCAATTGTTGGCTTCATTTCATACAGTTTATTTCTTCCTACTTGAGTGTCCCACCTCTTTTGCATGAGGTCCCGAGT